GACACGCACACGCCCTGTAGAAAAACCCCCAAAAAAAAAAAAAAAAAAAAAAAAAAAAGAGCTGGATCTATACCTTGTGAAGAATATCCAAAATATGCTGATCAAAAAACATATTTTGGGGAACCAGCAGTTAGCGTAATGGCTATGTCGCTGGATTCCCACGTAGTCGACCGCGGTTCGCGTCCCGGACCTGGTGGCTTAAAACTCACGCCGGGCGCGTGTGCGTGCGTGCCCAAGATCCCGAGAGGAGAATGGAAGAGAAGGGATTGCAGCGTGACCATCCCCTCTGGGGGGTGATTTCTCGCTTTCTGTCTCTCTGTCTCTGTCTGTCTGTCTGGCGAGCGCACGTGCCCTATAGCGAAAACCTCTCAAAAAAACAAAACAAAACAAAACAAAAACATATTTTGGTGATGTGTATAGTTTGATGCTGATTTTTGTCTTTTTTAATAAACTACTCTAGGGCTGGCCCTGTGGTCTAGTGCTTAAGGAAGCCAGAGCCTACATGACCCATCATGATCTGAATTAGAGCCCCCATGGCTTGAAAATCACACTGGGCACATGTGAGTGCTTGTACTCCCCAAAGCCCAACAGAAAGGAGAACTGGAGGAGGGAGTGCGGCGTGACCACGGCTCACAGGGGAGCACTCTCTCTTGTTTTCTTCTCCCTCTCTGGTAAGTGCATCCACCCTCTGGCACGCTAACATAGATAAATAAGCTACCTGAAAAGAGAAAACAGCTTTCTAGAGACATCTACATATTTACAAGGGCATAAGCCATGGCTGCCAGCAGCCCTGAGGGCGATGAGGAGAAGCCGGCCAACGTTTGCTGTATGTGCCCCTGTCCTGTGTGGTCAGAACTGATCAGATGAATGTATACTCTGTAGAAATCTTAAAGAGCCAAGAAAGCAAAAAGGAAAAAGAAAAAAAGGTTTAGGGACACTGAAAAGATGCCATTCTGTGTAACATGTGTTAATCAGAGTGATTTCAAGGCTGTCCTTTTCTTACTCTTCACTTGCTCCGTCCACCCTGTCTGTACATGATCAAAATGATGAATTCAAGGGAAACAGGGTAAGATTAAAAAAAAAAAAAATGACTGCCTCAAATTTCTACCTAAGAACCAAAGGGAGTTTTCCGTATTTTAGTCATGTTTGGGAAATGGGAGGGCATTTGAAGTTTATGTGTAATACATTATAGCTTTCCCTTCTAAACAAAGGAGGAATGGGCTCCCAGTCAGTCCTCTCACTTCCAACATCCGATTTTTAGTGACAGTTTCTGACATGAAGCAGGACAGGCTTGGACAGAACACGCTATCCTGTCCAAAACCTCCTGGGTTTCGACTCTTCCAGACAGATGCCTTCTTGACACTTAGAAAACTGTGCTTTGTTTCCTCAAATGATTTTTATAGCTAAAATAAAAAACCAGAATGTAAAATTACACTGTTCACAAGAAAGTCTCTTGATGAGCAATGTGCCGCTCTGAGGGGACATGCTCCAAAGCTGTCAAAGGAGTGGAGGGGAAGTGGGGCTTGCTCAGCCGACACAAACCCAGGAAGGCAACAGTCTACCTTTAAAACCCAGAAAGAGGGGCCAAGTGACAAGGCAACTGGATCCACATGGGAAAGGTCTTATGTTCACCTCCCGGGACCTCCCTGAATATGCTGGGCTTGAGATGGACTGCAGCAAGAAGACCCACTGTGTGTGTGTATGTGACTCTCTCTCTCGCTCTCTCTCCCCTCATGGGAAAAAAAAATCACCTTTAAAATAATAGAAAGTAAAAACCAGACCAGTTGGGTGACATGGTGATTAAGGCAGCTTGATCCCACATGGCCTACACCACAGTTTGAGTCCTTAAACTGGCAGCTTGAAAAACACACTGGACACATATGTGAGCAAGCCCAAAACTTCAAGAAGAGAACTGAGAAGGGACTGCGATGTGGTCATCCTCCCTGGTGGTGGTGGGGTGCCTTCTTACTCTCTCTCTCTCTGCCTTTGGCAAGTGCACGTACCCTATAGCAAATTACAGATAAATAAATAAAGACTATGAGGAGATCAAGAGCTATTTGGCTAACAAAAAAAAAAAAAAAAAAAAAAGAAAAACACAGTAACTGAATGAACTTTTCTAGAGAACTGCTTAACTCCAAGGAACTGGAAATCCTAAAGATCTATTTACCTGAGATCTAAGAAAGCATCGAACTCAAGGAAGCTCTGCCACCACCATTTGTGTGCGCAGAGAAGTTGCTTCTCAAAGCAAAGGGCAGCAACCACCATGTGAGAGAAACATCCAAACCCAACACGCTGGAATGTCTAGCTATTACAAATCAATGCCAGCAGAGTTTTATTTAAAAACAAACATTTTCAATGACTAATTTCACAGTCATATCTTTTAAACATTTTTAAAGAATTATTTTATTCAACGTTATTTATTATTACTTATTTTTTTAAGAGATTTTTTTGCTTTAGAGCATGTGCACTAGCCAGAGAGACAGAAATAAACAGAGAGACAGAAAACAAGAAATCACCCGCCAGGGGAATGGCAATCCCCTCTCC